ATTATTCTTGCTTATTTCTATTAAAAAAATTCATTCAGAATCATGAAAAATTATTGGAAAGAATTTGTTTGATCCTTTGAAAGACAATTTTCAAGATTTTCTTGATGAAAAAATGACTGTCAACAAAACCTGTCAAAGTTTCAGTAACAAAGGTGTCAGGCCCTCCTCTCTAGAACTCTTTGGACCCTTTGAGGACTCTGTCATTGGATTAAGAAGCACCAGAGGGAAGGACGGGGTTGACAAAATAAGGAAAAGGGGCCATTAGCTATTTTGTAGGCCCAGGGAAAATGCAATACACTTTTTAAAGTGTGTGCGATTTTGAATCTATATCACATTTATTGATTTTGTAAAAGGCAGTGGAGAAATCTCCACTTTGAAGAAATTTTCTATAACTCTTGACAGCTTCATTTTTTTAAGCAATTTGAGTCTCTCTGGCCCCTCTTAGACATTTCCCTGCGACGGATAGACACATATCAAGACCCAGATGTGAAATGGACGAATCCTAAATATCTGATTACTCTATTCATTTCAAAATGAAAACACTACGGATGGATGTAGGGAAGTTACAAAATGGGTGAAAAAAGTGAAATTAGATCCAATTCACCTTGAAATGTGCATCTTTTTAACTTGTTGCTTTTTTTCTAAATCTGTTTCTAGACTGATTATATTTTCATCAGACTTAGGGAGCGAATTCAAAATAATTATTTCAAGTAATATGTCAATTTTCAACAAAAAGGTTGAGTTATCTGTCAATCTTGACTGAAATGTGTGTCATCGGTGAATCAGCATTTTGATTTATGTTTAAGAATTCAACTGAAACAGACATGGCCCATTCAAACTGACCTGTCAATCATCACAGGTAGATATATCACTATGACAACTTCAATCACCTGTCACTATCAAATATTAACTAACAGACTTAACATTAATTTTAAATCACTTTTAACATTAACTGATACCATCTCCAAACCAAGTATGAAGTAACGACAGAACATCACAAAACAATAAATTGTTAACAGCCAATAAAATGCAAACAAAAGAGAAATTTATTTTGCCACAATGAATCTTTCATGAAGTAAAACCAAGTACACAGAAAGGCAACATCAGTACATGTTTACTCATTCTAACACACGCCATGTTTATTATAAATTTTTACCATATTTACTAATTTCCCATGGGAAAACTGAAATACACGTTCAGTTGCAATTAATTACTGTTTTTCCAAAATATCTCATAAAAGAAAACATCCTCCAACAAAATGCTGGAATAAACTTAAATTACATATAGTGAACTATAGGTATTAGTTTTTCAATAACTTTAAAAAATATATAATTTTCCTGATTCAAAGATAAATTCAGTATGTTAGGGTATATGATATCAGGTCAAATATAAACACAGACATATTGCCAGCTGTGGGGGTGGGAGAAGGTGGGGGGAAGAAGAGAGGCCATGACTAGTCCAGGGAGACACAGATAACATCTCTCATTCATAGGACTCTAACACTTGTCATCTCAAATTTCACTTGTGTTATATTGTTGCCAGCAGCTGCTGTAACCATACCCACAGACACAATTCCTGGTGCAAAATACACTTTCCCGCTGGTAAAAAAAATACAAAACAACACAAAATTGATTTCTCCGAAATGAACTTACAACTTTTTCTCATAATCTGTCTGTAAAATTCACATCAGTTGACATGTCATGATTTATGAAATTTATCTTCAAAAATATCTAAAACAAGCACATTTTTTTCTTCCTATTTGGCAGGTTCGGTGAGTTTTTCCACTAACTAGAACACTAGCTTCCTGTTTAACTGTTTTAAACCATAAAGTCAAATATATACATCTGTTTATTTACATAAACCTTAGACCACATATACCGTAATGTATAAATTTGGTTAACTGAATATTATGTGCAACAGACAGGGGGGACATTGACATGTATTATTGTTACCTATGCCATTTCATCCCACTATCATTCCAGCAGCTCAAATGGTGTGTGTATTTATTTAACAATGGCAATGTACAAATCAAGATCTGCTTCTACCTATTTAGCAACGGTCTTCTAAGTAGGGAACAAGATAATTGAACGATCCTGGCGCGTCACTTCATTCTTCCTATAGCGCCAATATCGTTGATCAAAGCTCTAGCAAAATCAATTTATTTTATCTTTAATTGATCGGAGAGAAACTGCTACATCAGTTGCCACTTGTCAAAAGAAGACAAGTGATTGCTAAAATGTATAATAGAAATAACCGCCCCAAACAAAAGCCTGTAGAAATATAAACTCAAATCTGAGAAAGAAAATCCTCGTTGGATTTGCAAATCGGGGATTGTTTTGAAGTGGCCAAACGGTCGCCAATGTCAACACTCTGATATCCCAAGAGAGCTTTCCTAATTAACAGATAATGGCCATGATAAGAAGATATAGGAATTTTTTGGTGTCGGCTCCCTGGCGATTAACAATTGGGGAATTGTTTCTTGAGCAAGCCACACTAATCGTTCCCTTCTATAAAGGGCAGTTTTGGACAAAACTAGTGGACCATAACCTCCATTTCTCTCAAGGGCATAAGGGTATGGGGGTGCGCCCGATCCACCCCTTTATCAATGGAATCGGCCATGCAGAAGAACGTTAGCCAACGGCGAAGTGACCGTCTTTTGCCAGGCGGGACACGGACGAGTCAAATTTAAACACTGCTTTTGAAACGAGATAAACGTTTTACCATGGGTCATTTTATAGTCGTTAAGTCTAACTTCTTTTTGTTCGGTGCACTGATTGCTTGATGAAAGGTACAATGGTAACTGACCATCCCTGGCACAATACTAACAAACCAATGCTTAGTGAAACTTTCGTTCCACTTGAAAAAGATAGCCCGACTTCGTAGCCGGAAGGCAGACTCCTAATCTATTTAATTATTTTCACAAGTTTTTATTTGGGAATTCAAACTCTAGTCGTAATCGCTATTGTTGTTGGAAATGTAAATAAAACAAGGCACTGTGGTGCTGGATCAATGGGGTAAATTTTCCTAACTTGTCGATTGTTGTAACAACAATACCGTTGCATGACAAATGACTTTTCTGTTCACCCAAAACCCTACGGAAATATTAAAAAGTCATTCCATAAACGACTATAAAACGAACGGGGATTGTGTTTAGCTCTTTAGTTTTACCCACCATTAATTTTACGTGAAACTTTTCATGCAGAAGTATATTTTCTTTCAACGAGTTTTAGCAAAATCGAACAACAAAACTACTAGAGTAGAAAACCCGGCGATACTAGAGGACTTGACACGAATACCCATGAAAGAATTTGCCACGAACTAACACAGAAAATTAACGCTTAATGTGAATTCTTATTGTTCAGAATTTTAAAAACACCCACACATGTACCGACACGATTTATACCAATTCACGCCACTGACCCGCCTGTAGGTTCAGCAGAAAGAAAACTCTACGAAATGTCTTAGGTCCCTATAGAAACACACCGCCCCTCAAATTCCCTCCAAAACAAGAATCATTTAAGCTATTATTACGGGCATAGACCATAGGCATCCCGCCCTGGTCTGGCACGAAATAATAATCATTTGCCTGATAACCAACTCAGCCTATTGTAAAGCTGTGGCCACCAGATAAGACACCCGACTCCTCAATATTAGGGTCCAGTAGATTCAGTACAGACGACTTGAAAAGTTCATGGAGGGATAAAAAGAATTGTTTCTAAACCAAAATCTTAAAGTTCGACCAGAATATAATTGAAGATTTTAGGATAATCCCCAGAGTACAATAACCGAATTATCTCGAAAAAATCAAATTAATATTAGTTAAACTCAAAGACTAAACAAACGGTCTTTTGGGACCGCCATTAGCATCGTCTTCATAGACAACTAAGGCTCATTAATATCTAACTAGTGTACATTTCAACATTCACTGCAATGCACACGCAGTGTATTAATTTCAGATCCCAACACCAACAAAATCGAATACTTGACAAATCAGACAATATGGATATTGCTATGTGTATAAGTTTTTCATAAACTGCAGGATAATATGCAACTGGATCATTCACACGTGTATTTATTACAATTAATTGTATTCTTTCTATTATTGAAGAAGCCATAAATGCGCTGTAAGTGGTATATTTTAGAACATTAAAATTATTCTCATAAAATACGAAAGTTTTCAGTTTCCAAATGATATCATTTCATTAAATATTCACGATATGTTCCTAAAATCAACCACAATAAAGAACGAAAATTGTATATCTCAATGAAATAATTGAATTATGTCTGCCATATCAAAAACGCGTCATTCAAATTATAACTACCTCCAAAACAAAACTATTTTAATCTAATAACACACTAACCATTGAGAAGAAAAAAGAAACCGAACAGACATAGCTAATTGAATTAATTTTTAGCGGTTCATCTTTTCCCACGTTAATTCCCCGTCTGAACCAAACAACTATTCAAATTGAGGCTCGGGTTCAAACAAATACATTTATCTCGTTTTTCACTGAAAATGTCTAATTTTGTCTTGATAAGAATTGCCAATTACAGGTGAAATGTCCAATACTGGTGTCATGGTGACACCGTGCGCCAATGTCATTTTTACGATAGGCCTATTGAGATTTTTATTCATTAACTCTCATAAAGATGATCACTTGGCGGCGCCGGTGGCTTTAAATTTCTTCATACCGCCCTTAAAAGTGACCGTCGAACAAACAAAATCACCATAAAAAACAACTTTGATTATATACCGTTTACTGTTACTAGTGTTATGGTATAATAATATTTGATGCATTTTCGGAATATATGTCGGAATATCATTTTGTCTGCTATAATTGTTACGTGACTGGTCCAACTGTATGTATAGACACAGCATCATACGATTGTCATTAATGTTATGTCTACCACAAAGTAAACAATAGCACCTGCGAATTATGATACATGGAAACGCATGAAAACTACGGCTGATCAAAATGGAAATAAAAACGTGTGCTTACCTGTTCCTGGTTATTTGTCTCGGAATTATGTTCAATGGGGTTATCAGAATTTGAAGAATTCACTGTCGTTGAAGATGATGAACTTTTGCAGGGTGTGCTGTTACTCCCACCCTCGCGGTCGTCGATCACCAAGTCTATGGGCATTTTGCCTTTTAAACAGCTAATGTACCGATGGCAAAAATTGTCACAGAGTTCGTGCACCTACAAAATAAATTATACCAATTTTCCTTTAAGACATATTTCTTACAGAAACATTCTTGTATTTTCATTATTCAATTAGAGAGAGAAAGCACCATGTGAATTTCCACGAATCAAAACAAGCGAAACGACTCGCACTGAAAGTCCATTGCTAATTCGCAAATCTGAATTTTTGATTCTAAAATTGGTCAGCAAAAAGGACAAAGTCGGCATACATTTCGTTGAGGGATTTTTCCTCATTTATTAGATTAGTAATCCTTATGCCTTATTAGCGTCTTTCGAATGCAGATCACGGCTAAACGCTCCGAGCAGAGCTAGCCTTTTATTGTATCTAGTGGCTCGGCCAACATGGCGAACATGCGTCGTCTGCTACAGACCGCCATGCTGGCACGAGGCATTGACCAAAACAAATGCAGTTTCGGATTTTCTCGGGCGCTTCAATCGCCCGGTGGTTTCCAAAAGGACGTAATTTGTATATTAAATGTCAAAAATAAATTGCTGATGCTATTTTCTAAACAACATATCCGCTGTTGACAATGTTAGATTCTATGCCACCTAGTAATAATGTGCCAGACTTGGTATCTACCGACGATTGCCTAGAACGTTTAGTACAATCAGCTCAGTGCGACTCACTTCGCGTTATCGTTTCGGGGTCCTATATGTTTGCATAAACTTGAAGAAAATGCTGTTATCAATGAAGGAAATTTTCTTCAGTGGATTTCATGCCGATATCACCAAGAAACAGGGTGGATATTGGCCTGTCACTTAATTCAACGAGCAACATCCACGATCGAAATTATAACATACATTTCTTATACATAGCATTTCATGTAAGAAACGCCTTATTTCCTACGTGTGAATAAAACAGAGATTAAACAGTTAATTATTCACATGTAACAAAATTGCAAGCTAGTTAATCCGCTTTGAGATTTAATCAAAATCTATCGCCAACGAATACTGTTGCCAGTTTCATGACATATACTGTAATGGACACCGCCAAAATACCAGCGTGACATGCAAGCTAGACAAGATTTTAGCAATGGATAATAATTTCTTTGTTCAGCTGTTTACAGCGTTAATTAAACAATACTACTCCAAGATGTTTCAACGGCAACATGCAAGGGGAAACAATTCATATAACTATATTTCAACCCACCTTTTCTAATTCCAACAGATGAAAACGTAAAACCTGGATTGACTGAATCATCTGGAAAAAATGACATGGATAATTTGAAACTTCATATAGTTGCATTGTACTCATACGAACGATAACAACACGACTAATAATGCCCCATAAAATATACGAGGCGATATAGCAAATTCACAACAGACCATGGGCGATTTTAGGCTCTCAATTTCCACTCGAACCAGATGCCAATTAAAGTTTAATTTATTTTATTTTATGCCTCTTGGGTTCTTGAACACTTGCGCCCTAAAAGTATCATTTCTGGGAGCTGGTCGAGACCCGCCGTCTAATCAAGGATAGATGGAAAAGTCTCGTATCAGTTACAGGGAGTCTTTTGTTTTGGAAGACGGTCTTCCCACTGGAGGTTAACCCATAAAACCATCTGGAACGTTTTTCTCGGGCAGAATCAGTCTAAAGTAAAATACTCAGTCCAGGCGCTATTTTCAGAATTTCCCTCGCGTCTCACGGTTCATTAGTGTGACTTGGCGAATTCGACCTTCCAGCGAAAACATGGGGCAAGTTGAGGCTCAAACTACTCGCTCCGTTTGCGAAAGAAATTTCCAAAACGGTCATTTGGCGATGTGGCACTTGGAGTTGATGAAACTAGACCGTTCCGAATCACAAATCTCCATCGACTTGGCCACAATGGTGCATTGGGGATGAGGAGAAATGGTCGTTATTAGTTCCGAGTCGGAAGCAAGTAAATTACTGATGATTTGAGGGAAAATAAAAACGAAAACATACCAAACTGTCCAATTCGTGGTTTGCTGAGAAAAAGGGTTTGTCCGACCGGGCCTGCCAAGGAAAAATTAGAAAACGGGAAAAAAGAGTAATAATAATATAAATATGGATGGTGGAAATGTTTGGATCCATGTATCTATAAAAGAATCGTATAGGATCCACTTTGCACGTATCAGTTGGACTTTATTATCGACTTGACCGAATAAATTCAATGTTATTGCACATCTCTGGAACAAAACTGGCCTGTCTCTACATTTAGACCACACTCGGTTTTAACAGCCACGTTAAGTATGGGTTTCTATATACAGAATTCAACCAAATCACATCGGAACATCCATCCCGACCATTTTATTTTATTATGTTCCTCATTATCTCTGCAAAGCGCTATAACTCTCGGGCGAGCAGTGATGAAATAAAAGGCGGACAATAAATTGAGGCATTGTGCAAGGTTACAATAATAAAATTCTCACTTTTCCTCTATTGTCTACGGTCGAAGCGGAATATCTAAACAAGTAATGAAATGTGCCGGTTTGATTGGAAATCATTATCGTACAATGCTTCGCCAACCGACTGGTTTAATATTTCTGTCCTGTACATGATTACAAGGACTGACGAAAAAACTAGACGACCTAGAAATTGCAGATGCATTCAGTGTGCGTAAAAATATTAAAACCTGGATCAGATTTCTCCGGATAACGACTCGGAAATAATTGAGAATTATTAGGGAAATTGAAATGCTGATGACAATGATTTTTATACGTACGAGAACTTGTTTGCTGAAGACGGCTATATCTTCGTTGAACGATTCTGATGAACACACGTCCCCACCCGCTACTCCAGGTTCGCGGGGGGTACATGTGGCTAATTCGCATTTTTCAAAAATTAATGCGAGAAGCGGGAAAAGTGCGTGTCTGAAAGAAGCGGAAAAAGATACAGTTATTTTTTAACATCACAGATATGGCCGCCATTTTGGGAGCCGCTAGTTACAGGGCAAAGCTAGCGTGTTTTCCTGATCATCACTGAAAATCGGCCCCAAATGCCACAAAATATGCCGACATAAGGCCTGGAGATGTCATTTACAGAGAGCAATGCCAAAAGACGGGGCCACTACACAAGTGTCAGGACTGATTTAGTCAAAACAAACCCGGAGAGCCGCGACCGAACCAAAACATTGGCTCAATGTGTTACAGTTTCATAGACGACAAGCCAGGCTACACGTGCCTAGTGTTGTGAACTAAACTTTGGACCTAGACGCGTTATACGGTGATACTATTGCCTGCCATAAGCGGGTATATACTTACGAATATATCGAATCTTTATCCCGTTTTAGTTGATTGTCTTGTGTCGATGACATCACGCCCGGCATTGTGCTGCTGGACGTGTAGGGAGGGTACTGGTGTATGGGGGACGGGCCGTGGTTGAGACTCGTGGAGGAGTGGGTTAGAGGGTGACTGGGCAAAGACCTGGGGTCCGAGTACATAGCCGAGGCGTCCATACTCCCGTAATGTGGGAGTTCATTGTCAAACTGCAAGAGAGACCAACACCTTACAACGAGCCACCAAGCACAGTATCAATTTCTCATAAATATTATAAACAGGAGCACTGTGCTCGTAAATTTCATTTAAAACAAGACTGTAGGTATAATACTCACCCTCTGAGCCATCGGCGTAAAGGGGGAGAGCGTCTCCACTCTCGAATCTAAGTCCAGATATTGCGTAAGTTTTTACACTTCCACCGCCAGATTGGTATAAACAAATCCAGTGCCCTGTCAAAGAAGAAACAAACTGTCAAACACGGTAAAGCTCCATAGATCCAAACACGTTGGGCTCTGCCGTCATCACAACCTTAGTTTAACAACTGGCCTGTCGCAGCCTATAGCTAGTACCACTAAATCTGTCAATCAAGCCAGGGTTACTATAGAACGGGATAACAAATGAGCTGTCAAGGCCTGCCCTGCCTTGGGCGATCTGACTTCAACCAGTAGGGGATCCGAGTTTGCAACATAACACAAACTCACGCACGCTCTCTATCAGTGGCAGGCCGTAGACGTTCAAACTGGAGAAACAATATGGAAAGTACAGAGCACGGAGCTTCCTATAGTCTGTCCGAGACTTTTTCCAGATCCCTTGCTGCTATTTCTGCTGGCAATCGGTCTCAGTCAGCCGAATCACTTCAGTCGTATCGAGTTTGCCCATTGTTTATCTCTATTGCGCTGTAATAGTTTTTCGCCTAACCCCGTTTTCCCCGGCAGTCTTTTCCTACATGCGAACTGCGATAACATCTACCATCCGATAGCAGTCTTCTTCGACAGCAGAAAAACTAAGCATGCGAGGAAAATCGTTTCGGCGCCAGTCGGTTAAAGTATCCAGTAACCTTACTCAGCGGAATTAAATTACAGGCCCGGCACTAATTTAATCTAGGTTCCCCACGTGTTTTCGTCCACGTTAGCGCAAAACATAACTAAACCATGCATATACCTAAACTGTTGTCTCGGTGTAAATCCGTATTCTCCGCGATCGCTGCTTGTGACAAAGTGTGTGAACTATATTTCTTTACTGTTTATCATCGGACTTGCAGAGAGACTGTCATACTGTGACTGAATACCCGTATCCCTAACACTCCGCCCTCTCAGCCACGCGGACTGAAATGGACTCGTCCGCTCCTCCCCTTGCCCCGCCCCACTTCAGCTATGACACTCAAGGGTAATCGGGCGTTAGCGTTCAACCAATCGCAGTGCGACCGCCTATACACCGCGCAAATTCGACTTCTTCTGCTCAGCTCCCAGGGTTTCGGGCCGAGTTTGCCGACAACAGGGACTAGCTCCGTGTACAATGCTTGTGATATTCCAGTGCTTGGGAAATATTTGATATGGGGAAAAGAGTATATACTGGAAAGTCACTCTGTAATCCCTATCTACTGGAATAAGCAAGTAAGCGTACTCGTGGAACGTTGTTTATGATAGACTCAACATCGCAAGAAATGCATGGCCCCAATTTCATTCCGCTGCACGGGAGGACTTCTAGTGACTAACATTTTCGCATTCTTTCATGCTAACCTTTTTGTAAGTGTTTTTCAGTTTCTGTCGTTTAAACTTAATCTCCGGCTTAACAGTTATTGATTTTAAAAATAAATCATTGTTAACGCTATACGCCGGCCAGCTTATGGATTTCATGAAATGAGCATCTGAAATTGCCATTAGTGTTATCGACAATGATCTGTAGGAATTTCTTGTCAAAATCAACCAGATTGCCACCACTTGGGGTCATAAAATACCAGTATAATATGACAGCAGTAATACTCCTTGTAAACGGTGTCTATGTCTTAAGCCATCTTGATATAATTAACAGATGGTATAATTAATACCACCCACTAATTACTAAACAGGGTGGCATTATAAAGTGACGACGTTCTCACAGTAGGACTACTGGAATATCTCATGTCGTCTCAGTCCCACCTACCTGGGAACTGTTGGCCAAATCGTCACAATTTTCCGCGCCATGATTTTATTGGCTTAACATGAATAAATCAAATCACCCTCAGATACAGAGACAATGAGTACTAAGCGTATAGTATCTACTGCGCGGACAATTACGGAATTCCATAGGTCCTTCTGTGTCCGTCACTAGGTCTGCGAATTTGTTTATACATTTTCTCAAATTTTAATGACCGTCATGGGGCTTATTTGTCCACAAGGTTAACTGTCTGGCATACCTACAGATGCAACATTTATCAGGTTACCTAGAATAGGTCATTTCATTGGAATTAACGCATCGTTTAACATACGTATAGGAATGGTTTAGTACAGTGTGCGGCACTTTCAACATGGTACTAAACCACACGGAATCCAAACTTTGTGATGAATAAATATACACACATCACGGCGGGACAAATACGTATATTAGCATCAGCTGTATGGAGAGAATTTAAATTGCGCCTAATCATACATTCAAATGAATTTACAGTTTACACGTGAGGTACCGATAGTTTACAATCACTGCCCGTTATAGACGCATATAGATGGTAGTGACACCAGACGAGTTAATCCCTTGATACGTGAACACTATGCGGTGCCGCCTGAATATAGTATTAACCTTCTGAGTATGTTTTTGGTGTTTATTGTAAAACGAATCATATGTCAAAATAGTTGTAGGATTTGCTCTGGTTGTTTGACAGAAGCAAATTCTCTCTCTCTCTCTCTCTCTCTCTCTCTCTCTCTCTCTCTCTCTCTCCATATATATCATTTGAAAGATAATGACATTTTTGTGAAATATATTCTAATCGAGAGTGAATTTGTTTAAATAAATTATCAAAGACCAAACATGCACAACATTACACCATGTCTGTTTTAAATTTGTTTAAAAAGTAAAAATCTATGAATTTGAGTTTATACCTTAAATATACAAGAAAAAATAATTTAAATTCACACATTAAAACTGAACCTCCCAGAAACAGCAGCCTATTGTTTCATTAAGATGGAACCCCTGATTAAATTCATAATTAACTTACGTTGATTCCAGTAACATTTCATTTGTTAATGGCGATAAAAAGGAGAAGACCTTTAAGCACACATGGAAAACGCAATTAATCAAAATAAACGTCTGCTAGTATCATTTTCAAAATTTGATTTTAGCACTGCGCATTTAAAATAACTTGGCAAAAGTACCTTCGGGGTTTCTAATCTGTCCCAAGAGAATCCCATCGCAGACTGATTGGTGCATAAATTATGATTTGTTGACAAAACACGATTTTATTGATGAGAAAACAGTTTTGGTTTATTTTGAAATGTTGGTTGATCTGGGATGACTACATTAAGAGCGGAGTGAACAATCGCTGGTCTACTTTCTGTAGACCAGGCCACCCTGTGGAGTTAACATGACGGTGTTGCCAAAATAAAGCCCTGTCATTTAGTCTAAACATTTAATTCTATGTTTTGAAATAGAGCTAGATTCATTTACCTCTTACATATTCCAAATATGTGATAAATATGTTGTGGGATATTGTCACATGACTTGTGTGTCAGTTGGGGTCACCTGGGTTTTGAACCCTCGCTATTCGCATTACATATTCGTCATGTAAACCTAATGGTAAACAACCTAGCAAGGGTTGTGGAAAACTTTGATAACCAACAGCGGAGGATGAATGCTATACTTTTCGATACACGAACAGAAATTACATACACAGTAATAATCAAAGCCCACACGAAGGAAGGGTGTTTAAAATCTCCCAATTATACGTTTGTCTGTTTGCGCTGTGGTGTATCTCCCATACGAGTTGCATTCAGTGTGTGATTAGAATCTGAAAACGCGTTGTGGGAATGACAGTCTTTACAATTCAACAAACTGCCAATAAGTGTGAATTAAGGGAGCCTAGACCCACATGCCTAGTCGCCAGATACATCTCCACGTGTTTAAGAGACGGCAACACTGAATAACAGTACATTATTTGTAAGACTCGCTTATTTATTGTAACCAGTTTTAGAAACCCAATGTGAATTGTCTGTTTCAGCTAAGGATGAAATCAACACGAAAGCCAATAGCAAAATAACATATCTCCAACACCGTTGTTGTTAGCAAATGTGTAAACACATAGCATAGGATAGCCTATATTGACAACTAGCGGGGATTTGTCAATCAAGCCTGGAGTGAAATACACCATGTCTATTTCAAAGTAAACCGCCGTTCGCCGACACCAGTGGTACTACAATGCCAATATGGCCTCATAACACATAGTTTGTATACAGCCGATGCAATATAGAACTTGGCGATGAAATAGGCACTCGCTAACAGTTTGGTTCGTATTGCTGGCGAGGGGGCTTTAAAAAGAACCATTGAAAGCACATATTAATGTGGGAATAACGACAGCAAAATATATCAGCTTTATTTCACTTTGATGTTGTGTCAAATGAGTTTAGTTGTGTATTTGCGTATGCAGGTGTCATGTCACTTTCATTGCGTGTAATTCCCGCATTCGGAATAGCAATCGCCTCGATATTGCCATCATTTTATAGCAATTTCACAATAAGTACTCGAGTCGTAACCATTACACAAACGGAGCTGTCATTACGAGTAGTGTAACGAGGGCTCCCAGTGCAATGCACAACGTCATGTACATATCATGTACATATCTGTGCAATTAGCAAGGTGAAACATACAAGTAACTGTTTATACGGACCAGGCATCACGTCTCGTCGATAGGGTGTTGGTGATTTCCATTTATAGTTGATATTTGGCCAGTAATTAGTATCAATGACTCACAAAATTGAGCAAATATGGGCACATTATATCATAATCATTAATTATGCAATTTACAAATGTTGCTATTAGTTTCACATGTCTCTAAAAGAAGTATCTTAATGTCGACCATTTTCCTGAAAACGTGTTTCTACGATTACAATTGCTGTAACCTTTGGGTGGTAGAATTAAGATGTCTATAAATCAGTAATGTAAATCCCACACATAATCAACAGTCAAGACCATTACACGTGACCAAAGACCATATAACTGTTAATTTAAAAAAATGCTCCGACACGTAATGACAAAAACACGGCGTTTTTATCTCGTGTCACTGGCTAGAAGCAGCTAGAGGATAACTATCTGCTTACATCATGATAAACATCCAACAAAATGAGTGCCATTAATTACATCAATCAACATGCAATTTGATATACACATCACTCATCAATGGTAAGTTTTACTTTTTCTTCAAGGAAGCCTGCATATTTTTTGGAAAGGTTGTTCACGTTAAAAGAGACCCACTTCACTGATGCATGGTGTTAAGTTTGTATATTTCAGGGCCTATTCTAGCTGACCAATGTTTATGAAACCACTTCAACGGTGATGCGCGTGCCACTGAGTGACCCCCATATCCCCTCGATATGTAACGCCACCCCGAAGTGAACAAACCGACTGGGAGAATTGGCCCGTCTGACACTCGGAGCGGCCCTAAATGACTGTCGATGGACTCCCTGCCTTAATGAGCTGGTCCGCTATTCTTCATCTAGCGTCGAGGGTTAGCCTTTTTTCGAGGCAGATAGCGTGAAATTACTCTATAGGCACACTTCGGCCCCGGCTCTCACGGGTGATATTTTGACTTCGGTTTAACGAGATGTCCTTGTACATATTCGCCATGACGAGATTGTACGAACGAAATTGCGTTTAGCTCGGCGCGTCACTTCTGTGTTTAGCCTGGGTGGTTTAATGAGCGCTCGTTACTGATGACCCCCTCCCTGCCTCCCCACAAGCCCTGGGGCCCGTCCCAGCGCAAGGCACCCTGGCTCTGCACCCTAACTTCAACAATACGACCTGTGTTGACGTGTCAGGACTTAACCGTCAACTCGGCGACAGCGAAACGGGCCCCTCGGCGAAATGATTTCACCAAAACATAAGT